GATTCTCCACAGTAAAGAGGTAGGAGGCAGGACTCAACTCTAGATAGAAGACTGGCTGAAACACCAAAAGCACCTTTTCATAAGACTCACCCACCAATGTCATGACAGTTTACCATTGCCATGGCAACACCCGGAAGTTACCACCCCTTTTCTAAAAATTCCTAGATAACCCATCCCTTAATTTGCATGGAATTAAAAATGGATATAAATATGACTGCAGAGGTGCCCCTGAGCTGCTACTCTCAACACACTGCCTGTGGGGTAGCCCTGTTCTGCAGGAGCCCACACGGAGCTGTAATGCTGCCACCGCCTCCATAAAACTGGTTTCTTCTACCACCGCTCACTCTTGAATTCCTTCCTAAGAATTTGCCCAGCATGGGTAACACTAGATATTGGAAAAGACAATGAGGCAATGCCTTCGAAAGTCTAAAGTAAAATAATTTCCAATTTGGAGTGACCAACCAAACCACTAACCAAGTATAAGGATAGTACATTGAAGTCAGACATTTTCAGGAAGCTCTCAGGAGGTGCTCTGTCCAAATAAGAGTAAATCAAGAAAGATCTAGGATCCAAAAAGCAAGGCATTGATCTCAGGAGAAAGTCGAAAAGAATCCACAGGATGATACAAATAGAGATCCAGGATAACATCAGGTCACCAGGTGTAACATCAACCAGTTCAGAGTGAAGCAGGTCTGAATGCCCAAGGAGAAAAGTCTCCAGGAAGACAAAATTGATAAAATACCTAAAGGTTCTGAACATATTCAGAGCAGATGGCAGACAGCTAAATCCTCATTTTCCATAGCAGAAATCCAATGGAAAGTGCTTAAAACTAAAACATTAAGAAGTAACCATATAAGCATATTGGTAAATAATGACGGAAGACATGGAAGTGAAATCCAAAGGAAAAAACCAAAAGATGTGAAAGTAGTTTTTTGAAAAGCAAGAAATGAGGAAAGGGAGACAGATGACTCCTATATTTTATTATAGTCTTATGTGATACTATTATATACTATTATAGTCTCTTATTCAAAGTCAATTTTTAAAACTATGTGGATGTATGGTTTTGATAAACATTTAAACTAAATATGAAAATTAAAATAACAAATACAGAGAGAAAGCAACGGAATAAAAATTAGACCTGTGGATAAAGTTAATTTTCCTGCTTAACTGCTCAACTTCTGTAACAATCCCAGAAATTAAGACCCCTTTGTTTTTGTTTTTGTTTTTGTTTTGAGACGGAGTCTCGCTCTGTCACCCAGGCTGGAGTGCAGTGGCACAATCTTGGCTCACTGCAGCCTCTGCCTTCCAGGTTTGCACCATTCTCCTGCCTCAGCCTCCCAAGTAGCTGGGACTACAGGCGCCCGCCACCACGCCTGGCTAATTTTTTGTATTTTTTTTTTAGTAGAGACGGGGTTTCACTGTGTTAGCCAGGATGGTCTCGATCTCCTGACCTCGTGATCTGCCCACCTCAGCCTCCCAAAGTGCTGGGATTACAGACGTGAGCCACCGTGCCCAACCTAAGACCCCTTTGTAACACTATCCACTCCCAGATTTTCATTTAAGAAATTCAAATAAATACAATAGACATTTCCATTTATATTAGCAATGGTATAGGAGCAAGGAGTTATTTGCAAGCTTATATCTTCTACCCTCTCCTTTGGGTCGGGTATACTAGTATGTAATTCCAGTACCTCCTCTTGTTAGTTATATGAGTATCATAGCATTAGGTAAATTACTTCACCAATCTGACCCTTGGTTTCCCCATTCATAAATAAAAGTGATGACAATAACTACTTATTGGATTGATTGAAAGGATTCAATGAATAATGAACTATCTTAAAAAGATATTTAAAAACAGGCCAGGCATGGTGGCTCACGCCTGTAATCCCAGCACTTTGGATCACCTGAGGTCAGAAGTTTGAGACCAGCCTGAACAACATGGTGAAACCCTGTCGCTACTAAAAAAAAAAAATAATAATGCAAAATAATTAGCGGGGCATGGTGGCGGGAGCCTGTAATCCCAGCTACTTGGGAGGCTGAGGCAGGAGAACCACTTGAACTTGGGAGGTGGAGGTTGCAGTGAGCCAAGATCATGCCATTGCATTCCAGCCTGGGTGATGTGTGAAACTCCGTCTCAAAAAAAAAAAAAAAAAGATCTTTAAAAGCAATCCCACTTACAATAGCATCAAAAAATAAAGAATTTAGTAAAGTTGCAGGATAGTAATAAAAACAGCATGGTACTGGCATAAAAACAGACACACAGACCAATGGCACTGAATAGAGAGTCCAGAGACAAATCCACGCATTTACAGTCAATTGATTTTCAACAATGGTGCCAAGAACACACAAAAGGGAAAGGATATCTCTTCAATAAATGATGTTGCAACAACTGGATATCCACATGCAGAAGAATGAAATTAGACCCTTATCTCACACCATATACAAAAATCAACTCAAAATGGATTTAACACTTAAATATAAGACCTGAAACAGTGAAACTACCGGAAGAAAACCAGGAGAAAAATCTCCATGACATTCGTCTGAGCAATGATATTTTGGATATGATCCCAACAGCACAAGCAACAAAGGAAAAAATAGACAAATGGGATTACATCAAACTAAAAAGCTTCTGCACAGCCAAGGAAATCAACAGAGTGAGGAGACAACCTACAGAATGGAAGAAAATATTTGCAATTCAAACATCTGATAAGACGTTAATATCCAAAATATATAAGGAAACTCATATAACTCAATAATTAGAAAATAAATAACTTGATTTTAAAATAGGCAAAGGACCTGAATAGACATTTCTTAAAAGAAGACATATGAATGTCCCACAAGTATATGAAAAAAAATCATCAACATCACAAATCATCAGGGAAATGCAAATTAAAGCCACAGGATATCATTTTCCACCTGTTAGAATGGCTATTATCAAAAAGATGAAAGATAACAAGTGTTGGCGAGGATATGAAGAAAAAAGAACACTGGCATACTATTGGTAGGAATGTAAACTAGTGTAGCCATTAAGGAAAACCGTATGAAAGTTCCTCAAAAAAATAAAAATATAATTACTATATGAATCCTGGGTTGATATGGTTTGACTCTGTGTCGCCACCCAAATCTCATCTTGAATTGTAATCCCCATATGTCAAGGGAAGGACTTGGTGGGAGGTGACTGGATTGTGGGGCCAGTTTCCCCCATGCTGTTCTCGTGATAATGAGTGAGTTCGCACAAGATCTGATGGTTTTTGAAAGTGTTTGGCAGTCCCCCTGGTGACCTCTCTCTTAACTGCTGCCATGGAAGATGTGCCTTGCTTCCCCTTCACCTTCTGCCATGATTGTAAGCTTCCTGAGGCCTCTCCAGCCATGCAGAACTGTGAGTCAATTAAACCTCTTTTGTTTATAAATTACTGAGTCTCAGGTATTTCTTTATAGCACAGTGAGAACAGACAAATACATGGGTAGATATCCAAAGGAAATGAATTCAGTATGTTGAAGGGATACCTGCACTCCTATGCTCATTGCAGTATTATTCATACTAGCCAAAATACAGAATCAACCTAAATGCCTGTTTATGGATGGATGGATAAAGAAAATATAGTATATTATACAATGAAGTATTATTCAGCCATAAAAAAAGAAGAAAATCCTGCCATTTATGATAACACAGATGAACCTAGAGGACATTATCTTAAGGGAAATAAGCCAATTACCAAATGACAAATAATGCATGCTCTCACTTATATGTAGAATCTAAAAACGTTGAATTTGCAGACACAGAAAATAAAATGATGGTTTCCAGGGGCTGAGAGATGTGGGAAATGGGGAGATGTTAGTCAAAGGATACAAACTTTCCGTTATAAGATGAGTAAGTGCTGTAGATCAACTGTTACGCATGGTGATTGTCTGGGATCATTTGTGCTGCTGTAGCAAAATACCTGAGGCTGAATGACTTATAAAGAAGAGAAATTTATCTCTCACAATTCTGGAAACTGGGAAGCCCAAGATCACAGCTCGTGAGGGCCCAGTTTCTCTGGTTCCAAGATGGTTGCTTGTTGCAGTATCTCCCAGAGGGTAGGAACGCTGCGTCCTCACATGGGGGAAAGGGACACACGGGGTGAAAAGGGGCAAACTCCTTCTGTCAAGCCCTTTTATAAGCTCACCGAATTCCTTTCATGAGGGTGGAGCCCTCCTGACCCAATCACCTCCTAAAGATCATACCTCTTAATACTGTTGCATTGGGCATTGTGTTTCAACATGAATTTTGGAGGGAATAAAAACGTCCAAACCACACTAGTGACTACAGTTAACAATACTATACAGTATACTTGAGAGTTACTAAGACAGTAGATCTTAAGTGTTTCAACACACTGTAAAAAAAAAAAAAAAATTGGTAACCATGTGAGGTGATGGATGCATTAATTAACTTGACTGTGGTAATCATTTCACAATGTATTTGCATATCAAATCATCATGTTGCATACCTTAAATATACATAATTTTTATTTATCAGTTATACCTCAATAAAACCACTTAAAAAATTAAGGAATAGATGAGATTTCCTTTTTCATAAAAAAGGAAAAGCTCTGCGTGTGGTGGCTCCCGCCTATAATTCCAGCACTTGGAGAGACGGAGGCAGGAGGAAAGGTTGAGGCCAGAAGTTTGAGACCAGTGTGGGCAACAAAGCAAGACTTCATCTCTACAAAGAAAACAAAATTAGCCAGGCATTAGTCCCAGCTATTCCGGAGGCTGAGTCAGAAGGACTGCTTGAGCCCAGGAGTTCAAGACTGCTGTGATTCATGATCATGCTACTACACTCCAGCCTGGGTGACAGACTGAGACTCCATCACTAAAACAAAAATAAATAAATAAAAAGGAAAGTATCCAAAATACCTAGCACATAGTAGGTCCAGTTTCCTCTCATGTATATACAACTTTACCCACACATTTTCTGCTTGAGCTTGATTAGGTATACTAAGAGACAAACACAGAAGTCAGCCAAAGATGTTTTAATAAAGCTCAGGAATCTACTGACATCAGAGTCAGGGCAAGTTTATCTTCATTTTTGTGGCCTCAGACTTTAAAGCACTAATTCTTTGTACGCTGTGGTAAATGTGGTTGGTCCTTGGGCTTCAAACAGCACAATTTACCACTCATGCAGAAAACATAGACCTTTTCGTTCTTCAGGCATTCGTCACGGCAGGAGCCACGAAAATTCCAACATTTTTCAATGCTGCCTACTGCAAAAAGAAAAAAGAAAGGACCTGATATCAGTTATGAGCAGAAATGGGTCCTGGATTGAGAAGACTGACAGAGGGCCAGACAGAAGAAGGGGGCTGTAGAAGAAGGAGGCATTCCCTCTAGATATCTAGGGTGGTGTTATAGCCTATCACCATATTGAAACTCAGGAAATATCCAGTGAAACCCATGAGCCCTTTCTAAAGAATCTACTAGAAAAAGAGCTGTAGACAAGCAAATGAGAGGAGCATTGATACAGAACTAAATATTAAATATAAAGATACTTGTAGAACCAAAATGAGGATTTTAAAAGAGGGAGTGAAGTACGTAATGGCTATATGTTCTGACAATATAAATACAGTACAACATAAAAATAAGAGAATAATGGTGACAGAATATGCAGACATCTTAACTAGTTTGGGTAATCATGACATTATGGTAGGATTGATATTATTTTACTACGACTATTGTATATGTAATGAGAGATCAATCAAATGAGTAATCATGGGATATTCTAATTCTATCATCCCCTGTGACCTTGAGAACCAGAATTCTCAGTATAGAAAAGAAAATACTGATGTATATAAAAGTTGATTCTGAATTTGAGTTCTGAATTTGAATTGAAAATGCCAATATGAACTCACAAGTATTTTATATTTAAATAGATAAAATAAATAGATGATTGACAGATGGATAAATAGACTGAAATTTTTCCAGCTCTGGTCACTAAGAAAGTTTAGAAACAATGACTAACTAGTAGAAATTAGTATCCCTAGTACCCATGTTGTAATCTTAAAATACTATCTCCCCGTAAACTTTTTTTTAAAAAACAGGACTTCTTGGAGATATGGTGGATTCCAGTTATTGGGCAGTAAATTACAAGATGATCTTGAAACATTCTGTAGTACCAGATACCAAGAAAACCATCAAAGACTGATAGGGATATATCTAAAAGACTAATGAGCCAAATTAAAGAGACTCTTATTGGCCAAGATTAGGACAATTTGTACTTCTATAGCGATAATAATTGTAATAGATTGAACTCATTGCTTAGAATCATCAGTTCAAAATAAATAATATTTAAGAAAACCTAACGGCTCAACCTCAGAGGCTGATAGAAAACTAATTCATTATCTCTCAAACTGATTAAGCAAAGATAAACTCAAGCATTTATCCTGCCTTCCTCTCTGAACTCTCTAAACCCCGAGGTAACCAAATAGATGAGGGAAAATGCCTCTTTGATAAGGAATTCAGCTTATAAATGAAGGTTCTTCCCAACATATCTGCATGGTTCACCCCTCACTTCCTTCGAGTCTTCATTTGAATGTCACCTTCTCAGTGAGGCATTTCCTTAATACCCCTTTTTAAGCTCCAAACTCACATCCCCTGATACTTGCTATCTCCTGCTTACCCTGCTCATTCCCTCCTCCAATAGAATCATAAGCTCCAAGAAGATGGAGATTTTGTTTGTTTGTTTGTTTGGTTGGTTGGTTGGTTGGTTGGTTGATTCATTGCTCTATCTCCAGCACCTGTGCCTGGCATACGGAATCCACTCAACAATATTTACTGAATGAACGAGTTATTTAACTAAGCAATGACATGTCCACTATCCCCTAAATCCAGCTGCCATCCTGAGAAGAAGAAGGGGGCAGGATGAAAGCAGAAATGCTGAAAGACTGAACATTTTAAAGCAGAATGAGCTAATCTGAGAGGCTCTTTTAAATCAAAAAAGATGAATACAATTGTCTTCTGAAGTTGCGTACATCCCTGTGCCCTAACTCTCACTTTTCCTACCAGCAGGATGGGAAACATTCAAACGAATTACAGAAAATTTAAAAAGCTATGTTTGTTTTACATCAAAATTTCAGGGTCTCCAATGTTGATCCCTCGACCTAATTTATTATTTTAAATTGAGACAGGAATAAACTGAAACTCATAGGCACCAAGTAGATTGCTGGGGGCATTACAGAACTTGAAAATGGTGAGTCATGTTCTAAACCAGGATCTGGAGACTCTTTCCTCTTCCTCCAGACAATTAATACTTCACATTACTCCCTGTCAGCCCATCCTCCCAGGCCCTGGTGTGCCCTGACCAAGACTCACTGTCTACTCCCAGACTCTCCCCTGAAGAGGTTTAGGTTACCTGCAGTGACTTGGAAGAAGAGCAGCAGCACAGCCAAAGTTACCAAAAAAGGCTTCATGACTTCAAGTAGCCCACAGAGTAGTCTCAGCTCTGGTGAAGTGGCAAGAAACAGAGGCGAGCTCAGGACTCTCTGCTGCCTCTAATCAGTTGGGAATTGTGTCACTCACACGTGCCATTAGCTGCCCACGGGTACAGTTTGCTCTAGGACAGCCTGTCTTTTTCATGCTCAGCCACCATCCCAACACCCCCGCACCCAGTGTGGCCCCCACACCCCGAGCTCACACACCTCCCTTTGTCCACCATCATCTTTTAGGGACCAGCAAGAATAAATCATACAATACCCAGAAGGATACTTTTTAAAATATATGTCAGCCCTTGTTATAACTCAGGTTAAAAATCCTCCAAGACTCCACATCACAACTAGAAAAAAAAAAATCCACAGTCTTTACTATGCCCTACAAAGCCCCATATTCTCTGGTTTAGAAATCCACCATTATCATGGTTCTAATGTAAATTAAGCAAGCTCCTTTTTTCAAATGCAATTCCCAGTTTGAGAGCTGAGGAGTAAAGAAGAAAGGACCATCATTCGTATCTTAGGAGAATGTGTCTATTGGATTATTTCCTATCTAAGAGAGGAAGCCCCAGTGCCTAAAATCCTCAGTTTCAGGAAGCATTTTGGCATGGAGGGTGAGAGAAGACAAGCTGAAATATTCAGCTCCTTGTCCTGGCTGTGCCAGTTAGTGGCTGTGTGACATGTTCCACTTTTATATATAATTATGTACTTATATATAAAAGTGGGCCACTGCAAAGCTTATTAGAAACTCAATGAATGATTTTGTTCTGTTTGGTTTTGGTATCTAATTTTCATAATAGATACTTTAGTGGCAATATCTGTGGTTCCTTTGTTTGTTTGTTTTGTTTTGCTTTGCTTTTTGAGACAGTCTCGCTGTCACCCAGGCTGGAGTATAGTGGTGCACTCTAGGCTCACTGCAACCTCCATCTCCCGGGTTCAAGTGATTCTCCTGCCTCAGCCTCTTGAGTAGCTGAAATTATAGTTGTCCGCCATTATGCCCGGCTAATTTTTGTATTTTTAGTAGAGACAGAGTTTTGCCATTGTGGCCAGGCTGGTCTCGAACTCCTTGCCTCAAGTAATCTGCTGGCCTCGGCCTCCCAAAATGCTGGAATTACAGGCATAAGCCACTGCACCTGGCGGATATTTGTTAATTTTTAAGAATGAGAGATTAAAATGCTGATTAAGCACATGAATGGGGCTTACCAATTGTGACATTGACAGTAAGGTGATTTGACTGGGTCATTTAGTGGAGAAATGCCGGTGTCAGTTTTTTTAGGCTCTTTTCTACTTCTCTACTAATCTCCTGCTGGGAATTCTGAGAGTTAAGTGGAGAATGAAGCCTGGGGGCTAAATAGTTTCTCAGCAACCAATATACATGCTTCAGCTAATCCTCCCATTTTCTGCTTACTAAGTTTATCTTCAGTTATGCTTGGAATCCCCAGGTTCAGACGGCCTCTGTTTCACCCTTGCTATAGAAGGGCTTGAAGTCTTTTTTTCAGGATTGGGGTAGTATAGTATTAAGTACAGAGTGATGGCTGGCTGCATGAAAAGGAGAAGGAATAGAGTATCTAAGGATTTGATTCTTAAATACTATTTCAACCAAACCTCCTTATTTTAACTCCTCCACATTTCCCCCTATTTCTAGATGTTTATGGTGCCACTAGAGTCTGAGCTTTTATTTATTTTGTGGTTTAAATTGGGTTGGTCCTTTGTTTTCCCCACTTCCAGCTTTAATTCAGTTTTCTTTAGACTGCTTACTCATTTCCAGCTCATCCAGCTGCCTTCTAGCTTCTAAATTGTTGTGTCCTCTATTACCTCCTCCTATTTATTGGTTTATGATTTTTTAAAAAATGTTGCTATAGTTGCTGTCACTTAAGTGAGGTTTGGGGAGTGAATAACTAAAAATATTTGTATTCAATCCACTGTTTTTACCCAAAAGTCAATGATGTGCTTTTATAAATTGTATTTTATTTTAATTTCTGATGTTTAAAAATGCTATTGGCCAGGCGCGGTGGCTCACGCCTGTAATCCCAGCACTTTGGTAGGCCGAGGCGGGTGGATCACCAGGTCAGGAGATCCAGACCATCCTGGCTAACACGACGAAACCCCGTCTCTACTAAAAATACAAAAAAAAAAATTAGCTGGGCATGGTGGCGGGCACCTGTAGTCCCAGCTACTCAGGAGGCTGAGGCAGGAGAATGGCATGAACCCAGGAGGCGGAGCTTGCAGTGAACCGAGATCAGGCCACTGCACTCCACCCTGGGAGACAGAGCGAGACTCCATCTCAAATAAATAAATAAATAAATAAATAAATAAATAAATAAAGCTATTAACGACTGAACGCAGTGGCTCATGCCTGTAATCCCAGCACTTTGGGAGGCCGAGGCAAGTGGATCACCTGAGGTCAGGAGTTTGAGACCATCCTGGCCAACGTGGTGAAACCTCGTCTCTACTAAAAATACAAAAATTAGCCAGGCATGGTGGTGGTGGGCACCTGTAATCCCAGCTATTCAGGAGGCTGAGGCAGGAGAATCACTTGAACCTGGGAGGCAGAGGTTGCAGTGAGCTGAGATCACACCACTGCACTCCAGCCTAGGTGACAGAGTGGAACTCTGTCTCAAGAAAAATTAAATTAAACTAAATTAAAATTTAAAATGCTATTAACATTGTTTTTTATTTTTAACCAGAAAGTGTTAATTTGGCAAATTATATTAACTGATTTTCTAATTTAAAATCCAACTTGCATTCCTAGGATAAACCCAACTTAGTCACAAAGTATTGACATTTTACATATTTCTGGACTTGCTGTGCCAGTGTTCCATCTAAGATTTCCACATCTATGTTTCTAAGAGAGATTGGCTTTCCTAATTCTGTACGCTCCAGGTTTTAGTCAAGTTATGCTGGCCTCATAACATGAGTGGGGAAATACTCCTTTTCTTTTTTTTTTTAAAAGCATTATTTCTACAAATGTACGTTAATATTTTAAACAGAACAAAATAAGAGGCAGAAAATATTTGCATATAACAAATCCTAGCTTATAAATGTAGTCTTTTAGTGGCGATGTCTCTAACCATCATTCGGGGATTTTTTTTTTTTTTTCTTCACTATGTCTTGAGCACTGATATTGGAGAAGAGCCTATCTGGCAAAAAGTGTATACCAGTGTCTCAAACCACTGGAAGGACCGGGAGGGCAAATATAATTTTTCTTAGGGGAAATACTCCTTTTCATCTTCTCTGGGAAAATTTGTGTGAACTGAAATTTTTGTTATTATTATTTATTATTTGTCCTACGAATGTTTGGTAGAACTTGTGGGTAAGCTATCTGGGACTGGGACTTTCACTCTTGACCAAGATGGAGTGACAGGGACTATATTGATCTTTCCACCTGAAACAACTAAACAATCAGGCAGAAAATATAAATTGATACTTTCTAAAACATTAGACATTGAGGAATGGAGGACAGTGTTTCTTGAGATATGATAAATAAACAATGCAAGCCCTGTGATTGCCCCACCTTATTGCCTTGAGAGAAACTTCAGACCATAAAACAGGAAGACAGGAGGCAGAAAAAGTAACGTTTTTGTGTTTCTTTTTTTCTCCTTTCTTAATCTCATATTTGAAATTTTTTTCTCATTCCACTTTTCCCTTCTGCTATTTTAAAAGTTATGCCTTCTATTTATATATCTAATGGTGTGTTTTTCAAATCTTTTTGACCGTGACACAATATATTTTACATGGTGATCAAGATATGTATGATGATATATATAATGACATAGAAATCATAATATATATTAGATATACATATATTGAATTATTATTATTGAATTCAATTATCGATTGATTGAATCAAAACTTCTATGAGACAGTAGTTGCTTTTACTGAAAGCAATATCCTCTTGTCTATTTTACCCTACTCTATCCTGTTTATCACTTTCTAAAATGATTTCATAACTGCCATGAAAAGACTCTAAGAGTCTTTCCCCTTATCCCTGCCTCCTGTTACTTACGCATTTGAGATCTCCTTCCCTTGAGTGTAGCTGAGGGAGGCGCTAGGAGATTATCACTTTGAACTGGGAGGTTGGTAGGTCACAGTTTGATGCAATGGCCTCACCATTTGTCACTATCCCAGTCTCTGGTTTGACAGAGTTATTAGTTATTTTCTTTGTCACTAACCATTAGATAAGAAAT